AACTTACTCATTCTTCTGAATCACTTGACGACTGCATGTGGTCCATGATCTGAGTGCCATAAGAAGCCTTGTGATGCTGCATTTTTTAAACTGTGCTTTACGAGGTCAGGAGATCCTGGCTAACGTGGTGAAACCCTGTCTCTACTAAAAATACAAAAGATTAGCCGGGCGTGGTGGTGAGTGCCTGTAGTCCCAGCTACTCAGGAGGCTGAGGCAGGAGAATCACTTGAACCCAGGAGGTAGAGGTTCCAGTGAGCCAAGATTGTGCCGCTGCACTCCAGCCTGGTTGGGCAGGGCAAGACTTTGTCTCAAAAAAAAAAAAAAAAAAAAAAAGAAAGAAAGAAAATGTGCTTTATACTTTCCTCCAGGATTTTCTTCCAATCACTGACAGCTATTCTTTAAAATTTGGTGCATAAGGTCAGGCAAGGACAATTAAGCCACAACTGCTGCCTGCCTGACAATGATCATAAAACACACAGTAATGTAGAGAGATTTAAAAAGTACTTCTGAGAATGAATTAAATATGTTATACCGCATATTGCCCACCAGGAAAGTTTTACCACTTTGTATTCCCACATGAAGTTACCTATTTCTCTTAAACTTTAGTCAGTACTGGGAATTTCTGTAATCCAAAGCCTTTGCAAATCTGATAGGTGGCAATTGACATCTCACTTTAATTTATACTTCTTTTATTGTTAGACCATTGGAACTTTATTTTCATATCATTTTGGTCATTTGTATTTCTTCTTCTGCCCATTGTTCATATTTCTGGCTTATTTTTCTGTAGTGATGTTAAGCTTTTAACTGTTAAGCTGAAAGAGCACACTGTAACACATGCATACTGGGCTTTGGGAGCTAAAGGCACTTAACCCTAGATGCTGCTGTGGGGTTGGAGCCCAAAAACGCTCCCCATGACCTGCATGTCTACACGGTCCACCTAGGGGTTTGAGCAGTGGGGCACTGAAGAAGTGAGCCACACCCCTGTGGCACACCCTGGGAGGGGGATAAGGGAACTTCTCTGGTTTCAGAAGTATTAAAAGCAAAACCCTGTCTCAAACAAACAAACAAATAAACAAACAAAAAACAGAATTAAATAGTGACAGGATGAATATCTAAGAAGTATTTTTATTTATTCATATGTAAAGTTATTTCATACTACATATGATATATGGTTTGCACAATCTAAACATACGTTAATTTTTATGTTTGACTTTTTTGTCATTTATGGACTATTTCCATAACTTTCCATTGAAGTTACTCACATGCTACTGAGAGATACTCCACAGGGCCACCTACCTGTCTTGTACTCTCTTTGCCAGTGGTTTCTTTGGCGTTAACTGTCTGCTCAGTCTTTTCTCAGAACTGTTACTTCAGGTACCACTTACATCTCTCACTTTACACCTCCCATTCTACTTTCCCACACTATTCATCTGCTATAGACATCCTCTTTGCTGATTAGTACAGATGAGCGAAATTCAGCAGAGATTCAGTTCAGATACTTCACAAAGTTAAAAACAACAAATCTGTGAATTCCTGCCCATATGACTCAAGCCCCAAGCTGAGCTGGGGACAAAGGAACATGGCCTCTTTCCATAAATCCAGAGAGGAAGAAACCTTGCCTGAGTCCAGCATTGCTTCTCACTGTGGCAGGAGGCAGTTTTGTTTGTTGTTTGTTTTTTGAAACAGATTCCAGGCTGAGTGCAGTGGTGCGATCTGGGCTCACTGCAACCTCTGCCTCCGGGTTCAAGCAATTCTCCTGCCTCAGGCTCCTGAGTAGCTGGGATAACAGGAGCATGCCACCATCCCCGACTAATTTTTTGTATTTTCAGTAGAGATAGGGTTTCACCATGTTGGCCAGGCTGGTCTCAAACTTCTGGCCTTAAAGTGATCCACCCACCTCAGCCTCCCAAAAACCTGGGATTACAGGTGTGGGCCATCACATCTGTCCCAAATTGTTCTTTCAGCCATCACAATTCCATTCTGTCAATCACGGTGGAACACCCCTTTCACTCCCTTAGAGAAACAATGTTATAACTCTTTGTGTTTCCAGGAACACAAAACACAATACTTGTATACAGGAAGCTGACCAACAAATGTTTGTTGAAAGTTTTTAATGACTTTCCAGCCAGTGTTGTCTAAGACAAAGTATACCCTCAGCCTTCATTCTTGCCATTTTGATGTTAATTTTAATTTGGCTTTGCTAATAAAAACATTTTGGTAGTGAAGCGAGACACTGCAGGCCAACCAAGGATTTGTAAGAGGTTCTGGTGGATAATCCCTGTGCTACCTTCTAAAAACTAGGATTTGGGGGTCACATCTTTCTTTTTAGTTATCCTTTGCCTCTTGTCTTTTCTTTCCTGGTTCTGCCCATAAGTTTTTTGTTTGTTTTGTTTTTTGAGACAGAATCTCACTCTGTCGCCAGCCTGGAGTGCAATGGTATGATCTTGGCTCACTGCAACTTTCGCCTCCCGGGTTCAAGTGATCCTCCTTCCTCAGCCTCCCAAGTAGCTGGGATTACAGGCACATGCCACCACACCTGGCTAATTTTTGTATTTTTAGAAGAGATGGAGTTTTACCATGTTGGCTAGGATGGTCTCGATCTCCTAACCTTTTGATCCACCCGCCTCAGCCTACCAAAGTGCTGGGATTACAGGAGTGAGCCACCGCACCCAGCCCTTAAGTTTTTTTTTTAATCACTGCTCTTACTCTCCGAATCTGTTTCTCTGTATTACTTTCTGGCCTTCCCCTCACATCTGACCCACATTTGTTAAAAACTGTCTAGCTAGGCCAGGTGTGGTGGCTCACACCTATAATTCCAGCACTTTTGGAGGCTGAGGGGGGTGGATCAAGAGGTCAGGAGTTCAAGACCAGCCTGGCCAAGATGGTGAAACCCGTCTCTGCTAAAAATACAAAAATTAGCTGGGCGTGGTGGTTGGCGCCTATAATCTCAGCTACTGAGGAGGCCAAGGCAGGGAATTCCTTGAACCGAGGAGGTGGAGGTTATAGTGAGCCTAGATCACACCACTGCAATCAAGCCTGGGTGACAGAGCAAGACTGTCTTAAACAAACAAACAAACCATCTAGCTAGAATGTCTCTTTCCTTTTGCAGTACAGCTCCTCATGCCCTCTTCACTTTTTAAGGATTCAGGTTCAACTCTGTGGGATTCCTGTTCTGCTTTGCAATTATCTCAAGTTCAGAAAGTTCCCAAGGTACAACATAATGCAACATAATATGTTTCCAAAGTGCCTTTGTTAGTAAGTTGTTTGGATTCAGAACAGGTTTTCCCATCAAAAGAAGGCTCTTAGTGATGTTTACAGTGTAGCCTACAACTTAACATACTACACATTTGATGAATGAAGTATTCACTGAATGCTGGTGGTTGGGTATTTCTGTGTTTACTGGGTTGCCCTTCAGCACCGTGATGTTTGAGCTGAGCTGTTTGCTCCCTTGACCGAGATTTTTTTTTTTTTTTTTTTTTGAGTTGGAGTCTCACTCTTTCGCCCAGGCTGGAGTGTAATGGCACAATCTCTGCTCACCATAACCTCCGTGTCCTGGGTTCAAGTGATTCTCCTGCCTCAGCCTCCTGAGTAGCTGGGATTACAGGCATGCACCACCATGCCCGGCTAATTTTTTGTATTTTTAGTAGAGATGGGGTTTCACCATGTTGGCCACTGAGCTCTTTCTATCATATGCAAGGCTTCTGCTTGTTCTGGTAAACACATGATCTTTCCTTAGCCCTAGCTTTACAAGTTGTACTTCTCTCTACACAGCTCAACTGCAAGACACAGCAAAAATTTTCCGAATATTCAGATGAAACAATAATTTTCACGTGCTGATAAAAACTTAGTTGTAGCCCTGGAGGTTTGAGACACAGTAGGCTATTATTGTCTATAGGATGAAACCCACTGGTAAGGGATGTAACCTTATTAAAACATCCTCTGCAGAGAGAACAGAATCTCTTTGATGGTAAGGGGCAGATTATCTAACAGGTTGTTTGCAAGGATGTGGTTCCTAGCTGGCACACAGAAGGGCCCAGTAGTAATGTTGAATGCAAGATGAATGAATGGATGGATGGATGGATGGATGACAAAGGGTCACAGGAAGGCATCTGGACACACCACTCTCTTTTTATTTATTTAAATAGAGATGGGGTTTCACCATGTTGGCCAGGATGGTCTCATCTCTTGACCTCTTGAACCGCCCACCTCGGCCTCCCAAAGTGCTGGGATTACAGGCGTGAGCCACCGCGCCCGGCCCCTGGACACATCACTCTCATTGCTTCTCAGGGACTTGAAGCCTTAGTGGGAAGGACGTCACCTCACAGTATTTGCTTTTTGTAGGGTCACCAGGAAAGCACAACTTTGAACAATTCTGTGACTTCGTTATTGCTTTGCAGAATTGAGAGAGAACAACGCCTTCATTTGTTTTCCTTTGCATCTTTCTAATTTACTAAAGGTGGGTCAGTGGAGGTTTTGTATTTCAACTTTGAAAAACAAAGCATTCAGGACGATTTGCCTCAGGAGGCCAAGAAGTCTCTTAAAAGAAGCTTAAATATTTTTGGTTGCCTCTGGGGCTGTCTGCACCCTGGGGTAGCTTTGGGTTTGAGTTCTCCTGTGAGAAGAACTTTGCGTTAGGTCGGGCCTGGCCTAGAGCCTGCCTCCCACGGTGGTGGGTGTGGGCTGCACTTCCCGCAGCCGTTTCAAACAAATCTCTGAGGCCAGAGGGACAGAGGGACTGCGTTCTAATTCGGAGCTCCGAGGTATGGCTCCGAAAGCCTTGTGGGTGCTAGCGGTCCTTTAGTGGGCGCCTCTCCCACTCAGGGCGAACCACCCACCTGGGGACGATCCCAGGCAGGAATTCGTCAGCAAGAGCGCGCAGCTTGCGGCCTCGCCGGTTGGGGGCGCTCTCCCGTGGGAACTTCGGACGCGCCCCGCAGGGCTGGGTAGGGCGGGGCAGGGCGGGGCCGCTGCCCCTCGGTCCCGCCCTCGCACCGCCAAACTTTACTACTTCTCTGGCTGCGTCGCGGCGGCCACTGGAGAAGAGGCGCCCAGCCGCCCGCTCGCCGCGTCCTCCGCCGCTGTTCCGCTCCTTGTCGAAACCCGGCGCCCGGTGACCCCGTCGCGCTTGGCCCCGAGGGCATGCAGCAGCCACAGGGGCCCCCCGCTCCCAGGCTCGGCGGCGCGGGTGAGCTTGAGCGGTGAGTCAGGGTCCGGAGCGGGGAGGGTGCCCGGAGCCGCCGTCGCTGGGGCGCGCGTTGGAGGCCCGGGCGCAGGGGCGCCCGCGGGACCCAGCCGGCCGCTTTTCGGGGCTGCCTGGCGTGCAAGCCTGGGCTCCAGACCCACTGCAAACTCCTGGGACAGGCTCTCCCAGCGGGTGTGTGGCACAACCTACCCTTTTCCCACCTTTTGCCCCACTAGGAGCAAAAAGCAATCTAGATGCAAAACCGGCGTTGCGTCCGTCTCCGCTGAGGGCCGGCGGGCTGGGCGCAGAGGCGAGGAGAGCGCGGCGCAGGTTGCCTCTTCCCTTGCACAGGTGCTTCTTTCCAAACTCAGTCTCACTGCCGTCGATGGTGATTAGGAAGCGGCGTTCCCTCGTGAAGCCTAGGGATGTAACGTTTTTCAGCCTCCAGTTACGTCTGGTATGGGGTGTGTCCGTTGGGGAACAGCTTGAACCATGTCAGGCTTCTAAAGATTAGGGAACTAGTAACTAGCAACACTGTCAGGGTTGTTTGTTCAGGGTATGGTCCCCTCACCACTGTGACAAAAGTGCTTTGTTCTGTAGCAGAGTTACTTTATCGCTTTCCCTCAGCAAGTTGCAGCTACACAAAATTGCCTAGAAATTCCTCAGGCATGTAATTTGAGGAGTGACTGTGAATATTGGAAACAATTTAGTCTTATTAAGGTAATCATTAAAATAGCCCTGAAAAACATTTGCACGTCAGTTTTTTTAAACTGAGTAATTTCCACGAAATATTTTCCCTGTAATTTGTTATTGTTATTACAACGTATTTCTTCCTCCTGCTTTTCCTCCTAAAGTAGCATTACCTGGTCTTGGGATGACATTTAGAAATAAAGGATCTTCTCACGGTTCCGACTTAGTCTGTATCAGTCAGAGAATAAAGTAAATGCCCGTTACAAACAGACAATTTCCTCTTTGCAAATAGGTGATTATTCTCGGTACCCTCACAACGTTTCATTAATGCATGAACTTTTGTATTGCTAAGAAGAGTTGCTGGGTGTTCCAGTGATCTATCAACAGTTGCTAACCCTGCTTCCCAGGGACAAGTGTATCCGATATTGTTTGGTGGTCTGAGTCGGGTAAACAGTTTTCCTCTTTTTTGGACAGAAGCGATACAGTTAGAAACACACACCTTGGCTTCGTTAACCCCACGCTTGTCTAAACAAACTGGGCTGTTCTAAAAAGACCAGCAAGCAAACCCTACCAGTGAGGGTTGTGTAATTGAGATAATCTTCCAGAGTCGTCTCTTGTGCCTTGCGACTGCAAGGATCTCATTATCCTCTGGAGATCTGGGCATCTAACCGTTTGGACAACACTTATATTGATTGTCACTACCATGTAACTAGGAAAATAAGTCATTTTGGCAAAATTTTTTTCTTTTTTTGGTCTTTAGAATTCAAAACTTTGAGGTTTTGATTTAATGACAGATGACACTCCTCTTGTCTAAACCTTTCAAATGCATTTGTCAACTACCAGACTCTTTTTTTAAAAAAAATCAGGTCAGACCTATTTTAGATATCTCACTATTTTGCAGGATACTTGTTAGAACAGGCCTGCATATATTTTCTATGAGTGGAGACCGAATTGAAAACATTAAAATATGAGATTGTTTTTCATGTGTGTACACCAGAATCTGTTTGAGAAACTACATGTTAACTCTCTAATTTTTCTAAAACATGTGCACAGTGGAAAACATGCACACACAGCATTGTAGCCAGGCAGCACCCAGACACATACTCTCAGCATCACTTGTACACACATGCCTAAGGCTGGCTGCTGCTTCTCCAAGTTTCTCAGCCTGCTGCTGAGGAGTGGCAGTGCATGATAGCTTAAGACCAACCTCTTATTTCTTTGGGCTGGGGTAAAGGGAATCACTATAACTCAAACGGGAATCACTATAACTCAAATTACCCATTAGCCATTCTCCTTAGAGTATACATTAGTTCAAATGCTTTCTGGCCTGTGATTATATCCAACCGAGTGGTTAAGTCTGATTGCAAGCTTCTAAATGGCAGAGACCAGGCCCAAGGCATTATTAATGTGGCATAAAAGGAAGACCAAGGCTTTGCAGTCAGACCAGCTTTTGTTCCAGTCCAGGCTTTGTGACCTTGGGCACATAGCTTCACCTCTCTAAGCCTTAATTTCCTCATCTGTAAAAATGAAGATTATACCATCTTCCAAGATTAAAAGAGAAAGCACTGAGCATGGTCTCTCATGTACAGGATGTACTCCTTAAATGCGGGTTGCCCTCTTTTCCTCCTAGATAAAAATTTAAGTATTGACATTTGCGTAAACATGGGTGCAAATGGTAAGCCTTAGGTGACTTAGATATGTTGTACACACTTTTCTTAACTTGCTTTCTCTTTTCCTGGCCATGGGCCTTTTGCTGGCCTTGATGATCCTTTGTCCCTTATCCTGGATTCTGTATTTGTGGAGGAGTCCTGCTATGGATAGAAGAGGTGGTGGTAGGCCTGGGGAGCTGTCTGCATAAGTGCTGAGATTTTGTGCTTTTACAAATGGTGGACTAGTGGTACTTAGAGTACAGGGGTCTGTGTTTGAATCCTCGTCCCACTTTTGTGAGTTCTTGTGACCCTGAATAGATTGTTATGTTTGAATAAGTTTTTTCATTTATATAATGGGGATAATAATTACGTTTCTACCTGTCTGCATGGGTTGTTGATGGAGTCCATTAACTTATGTATGTGAAAGAGCTTTGTGCCCTGTGAAGAGCATATAAATGTTGGAATTAAAGAGGCAGGGCATCCAGATGTGGGCTGCCCCAGGCAGGGGAGGCAGAGGGGTCCACCTATGCCATCTTCACTCCACTGTGCCTTCTTGCTGACTTGGATCTCTAGTTTACTCTGCAAAGTTCTAAGCTGACCCAAGGCATTTCCCCCCACCCCTAAATTAAGCTAATTATTTAATTTGTTCTGAAAGGTGTTTGTTACTATCTGCCTGTCCTGGCAAGCCAGGGAGTAAGTACCCATTGAGAGGGAGTCTCTGACATCCTGGGTTGTACCCACCCCGCTTCATCACCTCCAGTCATATGTCCTTTATTCCTCTTCCCCTCCCTGCCTGGCCTCTTGTTGTATTGTCTATAGCCTTGAACTCCTCCCTTGCCCATGACCCCTGATACTGCCCCACTGCCATGAACCTTGTTACCCCTCCTCAGATGTATATCATTTGTACACCTCAGGCTGGTCTAGACTGGGTGTCACTCTGGAAAGCAACCCCCTTCCTGAGGATGTTTATCAGCCTCCCTAATTACTCATCAGCTAGTTCTGTGTCTACACTGTTCCCTAGGACATTAAGCTGGAGCTTCTCTACCCCTGGCCTTGACTCTGCCATATGCAGATTGACCAAGATGTTATCAAGGGATGACTTGGCAGGTGGCAGGGCTAGGTTGGAGGGCACATTAGCCCCTCCATAAGTGCACTAGTTTGTCCAAAGGCCTTCTAAGCAAACATGCAATCTAAATAAAAGTAGTGTACTTGCTTTATAAATGCAGCTTTGAGGCAAGCCCCTGATCTCCCCTTTAAGCCAAGCTGTCCCGAAGCACATTCTCTGTAGAAATTCTGTAGCTGCCCCCAGACAGACTCAGACCATGTAATTCAAAATGGTCAGTGGAGGCTGTCAGCAGCATTCACTCCCTAAGAAGGTAGAAATCCAGAGTTTCAGAGCCATTGGCAGTGACTAGTTATAGAAGACCAAAGCAAGGGATCAGGTATAGAGTTTATTGGGAGCACATCAGTGAATCATTTACCCCTTGCCCTGCTTGATTTTTAATAAGTCAGTTATTTGAATGGGGGTAAGGAAGGCCTTTTTCTGGACAAAAACTATCACATGGGTCTGGTGAAGAGAAAATAAGTGGTATGATCATTTTCTATGTCTCTATGGTATTAGGATTGAAATCTCAATCTCTCCCTCTCTCCCTCCATCCTTCTCTCTCTCTCTCTCTCTCTCTCTCTACCTCTCTACCTACACACACACACACCCCCCATATACATCATTAGTCTTTATGCTGAGAGCAAGTTGTAGATGTTATTCTCCATCAATTTTAAACACTCCAGCATTAAACACAAAACAAAAAACAAGCACTCTGGCCTTCTATGTAACCAGCATATACCCATCAAATCAGGAAATGGACATTGGCACAACACTGCTATCCAATCCACAGAGCCCATTCCTGTTTCATCAGTTATGCCCCAAATGTCTCTTCTACCTGTCTGATCTATGATTCATGTTAAATTTAGTTACCATGTCTCTTCTGGAATAGTTCTTCGGACTTTCCCTGTTCCTAAAGTCCTTGCAGTTGTATAGGTCCTACACGCTGTAGGATGACTCTCAACCTGGGTATATTGGGTATTTCCTCAGAACCTGATTGAGGTCATGCATTCTTGGCGGGAATCCTTCAGAAATGAAACTCAGCTCTTCTTAGCTTCTCACGACAAAAGGCACATGGTGCCATCCCATCCCACCACTGGCCTATTGACCTCAATCACCTGGTTATGTTGGTGTCTGACAGATTTCGCCACCTTAAATTCACCATTTTTCCTTTGAAATGTATTGGTGTTTGTGGGGAAGTATTCTAAGGTTATGCAAATAGCCTGTTCCTCATTAAACCTCTGCCTACAGACTTACCGTTTATTGATGACGTCTGCCTGAATTAGCCACCCCTATGAATGTTGC